TACAAAGTGGCTCTTATTTGAGGGTTTTTACGGTAATTGTAGCCTTCGTCAGTTATTCGATATAATCAATAACTCACTACTACAGTTTATGTGCTTTCTGACTAACCATTTAGAACCGTTTTTCGATTTTAGTTTATTGGCCTCACAAGTATATTCATATTTAACTAGTCTTAAATAAAATTATTGACAGAAAGATTTATTTATGTGTGTGCATAAAATTAACTCGAGGAAAACTTTTTTTTGTTTTTCAGTATAAAGCCTTTCAGCTCACAACCATATCCTATTTCGGCGACTGGTGCCGGCGGTGACTATGGCATGGCTGCAGCGCCAGGTGCACCACCAGCTTGGGAAGGACGGTCGATTGGAACACAGAAGTTACGACTCGTAGAATTCTCCGCATATTTAGAGCAACAACGAGACCCGGAATCTTACAATAAACATCTTTTTGTTCACATCGGTTCTAATATAACATACTCCGATCCTCTGCTGGAAGCGGTAGACATTAGACAGATCTATGATAAATTTCCAGAAAAGAAAGGGGGATTAAAGGAACTCTACGATAAAGGATCCCAAAATTCATTCTTTCTTGTTAAATTTTGGGTAAGTACGCGCTAATTTGTTACGCATTGCTCTCAATAAGCTTCTTGCACTGGTGTTTCTAGGTATCAAATTAATTAGAAATTTCAAATTTATAAATTCTTCATTAGAAGTGAACATTTCACTGGGATCGTTCAGAAAGGAAGTCGCTATAACTATTGTTGTGGTGAACGCTTCATTACCCAGGTTTTTGAAGCACAATGATTTTACTATGTTTGGCTCCAGAAATGTCGTTCTTGAACTTTCAAGAAAACAATACGTCGATAATTGTAAAAGATATACAAATGAAATAATAACCTACGTCGACGTCAAACCAAAAGTGAGCAAAATTCACAGCTTTCTTATGCAAAGCATTGTGGATTCAAAAACTCCACCAACATTCCAAACCATATTTAACCAATTACAGTGGAGGGCGCTATTGAATTTAATATCTAAACCAAATACATTTAAATCTTTTTGTAATATTTTATATTTAATTTATGCCTTACATAACAATGCTACTGTTGCTTGTTCTTCCCCCTCAATGATGGTTCTGTTCTCTCTCTTTATCGCATCTACTGTTCAAATACTAAGGTTATATAGGTTGATGTCATAATGGACGAGGTGCAAAAACAAGTATCACTCTCAAACAAGATCTTAGCGATTATCTGTCTGAGGTCTATATCCTGTGGCACTAAGTAGATTATTAACCCTTTGCGCCCCAATGCGGCCATATACGGCCGCTTATTTCTGACCAAAGATAACCCAATTCGGCTGTAAAAGGCCACCCGTTAATGCACTGTCAAAATCCCAATGTGGCCGTAAACGGCCGGTATTTCATAGATTGAAACAGAAGTTGATTCTAATCTCCCTTGATCTTTGCATGAACAAATAAATTGTTTATGAAAATAATTCGAAATACAGGTACGTCCAGACTGAAAGTTATATACGAATTGTCCTCGTACTTTTCTTGTACAACAGGTTTTTCAGATGGTGTCTGTGAAGAGCTGTGAAAATTTGCATAAATAAACAAACACAGCGGCATGTTTGGTGAAAGTTTATTCTACCGCAGTTTTTATCCAAAATAAACGCATAATACATATAAAATTTATATTCATCTGAACTGAAAACATTATTTAAATAAATTACCTATATAAAATGTTGTTTTTCCTTGTCGGCGAGTTTTTAATGTCGAAAAATCAGACTGTCATCGCAATCAGTCTTGCTTGCCAGCAGAGGTCAACACATGAAAATTGCTGTAGTCGCTGGTTCTGTAAAAAAGGCAATCCCAGTTTCGTTGCTATTTTTCACTGCAAGTCCTTATTTCGCCTCTGTTGTATTTCCACTAGATATCCATGTATTTTTTTCATTCACAGTGTCCAAATATCACTTTAAAATGGGGGTTTTAAACGGGAATATCCAATGACCTCTGTAGGCCAAACGACACTGTCATCAATTACCGTTGCCCCGGTAATTCCCGCCCTACTGTTCCATATGAATATTCCTAATAAAGAATCCTGCCAAATAAGGAATACTTCTTCCGAATATGAATATGAATAAATTACACACTAATTTGACTGGCGGGAATATGCAAGGTTTTTCAGTGGTTGTCAGACACGATCATTCAGTTGACCTCCACTGCATATTTGCATTTGTTTGTAAACACAGCTGACTTGTAATCGAACGAATTAAATTCCTGTCGAGTATTTTTGGATTTTTTATGCAATTATTCACAACTATTTGTGTGATACGTTTTAAGTTTTAACTCAGTGATGAATTTCCAAACTGTGAGCGAACAACAGACTGCGGGCCCCAGTACCGGGATGCCACAACAACCGGCCGACTCAGAGCTGTCATCGCAAACTGATCGTGACGCAATTCTGAGATTTTTCGATGAGTCTGATTCAGACACTGAGTTTGAAGGCTTTACAGTGGAAGAAATAGACGAAGAGAGATTGAGATGTGAATTGCTATGCCAAAATACCAACTGTGGCAGTGACATCGATCCTAATGAACTGTTAGACTTGCTGAATGCCGATGCCGACAGTGACTCGGACTCTGATGCCGATGACATCGCCGATACACCAAACATCTGGTCAAATGAAAGGACCGACGTGAACATTCCAGCACATGACGACCAGTTTTCAGGACCAAGACATGGTGTTGGTTTCGGCGGGGAACCACTGGATTTTTTTAAATTATATTTTACGGACGATTTTTTGGATTTGTTGGTCGGGGAAACAAATAAATACGCTAGACATAGACAGGAAGTTACCGGGCGCGTAGACCGGCATTGGTATGAAATGAGTGCCTATTTCGGTGTTATCATCCTGATGGGAATACATCCGCTTCCAGAAGTACCGGATTATTGGTCTTCAGATGACCGTCTCCAAGTTCCCGGAGTGGCAAAAGTCATGCCACGAAACAGGTTCGTCAAAATTAGCCAGTATCTCCATCTCAGTGATTCTGTTAGCGAACCTGATCGGACTGACCCAAACCGCGATCGTCTTTACAAAGTTCGGCCTATCATCGACCTTGTCCGTAAGACATTTCCTGAACATTTCTATTCATTCAAAGAAATATCTGTTGATGAGGCAATGTGTAAATTTAAAGGCAGGTCTCATATGATCCAATATATGCCCGGGAAGCCAGTAAAGTGGGGCTTCAAAATATGGTCTGTCGCATGTCCCAGAACAGGCTACACATTTGATATGTCCCCGTACACTGGCAAGAAAAGCACTCCTGAGAAAGGTCTTGGTTACCAGGTTGTCTGTGATTTAACATAGCAATATTTTAATTTTGGTCACCATATTTATTATGATAATTTTTTCAGTTCTGTACAGCTAGCATTAGATTTATATTCCAAAGACACATACATTTGTAGCACCAATCATAAAAATAGTAAAGGGCTGCCAGGGGAAATAAAGAATTCTGTGAAAATGAAACAGGGTGACTATATTGTACGTCAGAGTCAGAAAGTTGTTGCTTGTACCTGGTATGATAAACGTGAAGTTCGAATGCTGACAACAAATTGTTCACCAGGTGGGAGAGATGTCACCAGGGGTGGGAAAACATTTTTTACTCTATTTTCTGTTTTGCAATATAATCAGTACATGGGTGGTGTGGATCTGAGTGACCAGTTGACATCTTACTATTCCATTAGTAAAAAGTATAGTTCTTCTTTATCCAACGAATGATTGTTAATTATTTTATATTCAATTGCTCACTCCCCTAATCCAAGAAGAAGGTATTGGCAATTAGATTTTCGTCTTAATTTATCAAGTCAGCTCATTGCTGGGTACTGTAGTCATAAAAAACGTGGGCCACAACCACAGTCACTCGGTGTTGAAAACAGCTTGAGTTACGCCAACCTCCCTACTCATAAGTAAGAAATGATGCAACCAAATTCCAACCGAAAGAAATGTTCTTGTAAATATTGTTCTAGAATTGGTAAGAAAACTCCTAAGGGTTATTCTGTGGAGACTTCATTTGGGTGCAAGTTTTGTAATGTATTTCTGTGTAAAGATGACTGCTTTATCAGGTACCATGCCTGTATGCTACAGCATTGAGTAATATTTTTTTATAATACATTAGAAACCAAGTGAATTGTAAATAAAATGTGTTGTTTTTTTTTAAATGAAATGAAACTACAGTGTCCTAGTCTTCTTTTCCCTGTGTACATGTCAACATACCTGGCTCACACTGAATTGGTAAAAAGTTTTGGGTAATGGGAGTAGAAATATGCAAATTAGTAATGGGCCCTGCAACATTGTTGCAACAAAGTATCTATAATATGCAAAGGGTTAAGAGAAGTGTGCCTAAGCTAAAATACATGTATGAGGCGTCACTGATGCACAAAGACTTACTGTGACGCAGATAATTCACGTTTCACTGGCATGTGACTGTTGCAGCCGAAAATGATATGGTGTTATGAAACATCATACTATAGAATTTGTTTTTCTGTAAAATGAAATTCACATTTTATAAACAAAACAAGACTGATTTCCCCATTGTCAGTTGACTCATCTTGATTTTGAGTATTCCATTTTGACCTGGAATTCCAACAAATGTAGGTGCTTTGACAACTGGAAAAACTTAATTGCTGTCATATTAGGCAAAATTTGGATCTACTGTCTTTGATGTATGATTTAATAAATTTCTACTTTGTTTTGCAGGCTGATCTCAACACTAATCTCTCTGATGAACCAGGAGCATTCTACGGAGTTACCAGCCAGTAAGTACAATCGCATGCCATTCAAATAAGAAAGTATTCGCTGCTTGCTTATTCCAAATTACTGTAAAAAAGGGTTAATTATTCACTGGGTTTTAATTTTGCTTATTTCGCTGACTGGAAAATGCGCTAAATTAAAACCCAGTGAATATGTCAAATTTAGCATAGAACACATTATCTAAATGATAAAACCGTTAATTTAAAACTCACTGAATATGTCTGGAATGCTAAATCAGCGAAAATTTAAACCCAGTGAAAATCAATCATTTTACAGTATTGCATTTATTATTACCATTATTCTTGCTTTTTACCTTGCCCGTACCATCAAAGATGGAAGGGAAAGGTATATTAAGGGAAAAATTTTGTCCGGCGTTGTTGCTGTTGTTGTCGTCGTTAATAATTGTTATTGTGTGCATAATAACTTTACTAATTCTATTCCAAACTTTATCAAACTTGGTCACCTTATTCATCAGTATAAAGTCTTCCCTGAGTTTGAACAACAGATGTCCTGTATGAAAATATCATGAAAAAAGTGAGAAAATCTGAAAAAATATTTTGACTGTTTCTACTTGACTGATCACTGGTGATACACATCAAAGGTCACTGATCTCAGTGGAAATATGCATTGTTGTATGTGTTCAATGAAGCAAATGATTTATCTTGTAATAATATCCTTGGTAATGTATCTCAGAATCCCATTCTGGGTTTCAAAACCAACTCATGGAGAGATTGCACAGTCTGATACACATTTGCAAACCTACCAATAAAATCTTTACAGAAAACAAGATGTCAGAAAATCAATATAAGCACTGCTATGAACTGGGTGCCTAACTTTGATCAAGATCTGAAGCTAATAGAAAATCTGTTTAGTTCAAAGTTATCAAATCAAAAACAATACATAAAAAATACATAAAAAGCAAAACATTTCATCCACATTTTAAAAAGAAAATTGTTCTAAAATATATGTATTCTGTAACAGTTCATTCAACAAATGAAAACTCACAGGAATATGTTTCAGCTATTAGAACAGAATGATAGAGCTTTTATAATACTAGTTTAAAAACGCACTTCAGAGATTGCAGTGTTTGAAGATGTAGATTCTCAGGAGGCAATAGTACTGTTGACTTCTCCCTCCACTGGACACCAACTATTTAAGTTGATTTGCAT